CCTTGGTCTGTCTCTCAATCCTTTGAAGATACCTAAATATAATTCTTTTGAATTCCTTATCAGAGAGTTCTAATGCTGCATATTCCTCAGGGATATATTTTGGGTCTGTATCCTGGTCCCTTGTTTCTCCTGCTTTATCTTGCTTCTTTGTGTGGACTGTGATGCTCTGTTGTCTCCGAGGCATTGTGACATTTTTGTGTTTATAGCTAATTGCTGATTATATGTTGGAGTGACTTGCCCACAATTTTTGTTTTCTTTGTTTTGTTTATATGTTATCTACACAACTGTGCTCCTCTATTCACTAGTTGATAGCAGTTATACACTCACCACCTGTTTCCTTTCCTGCTGTCAGCCTCTCATGTCCCTGCTGACTTTGGCAAACAGAGCCTATTCTTAGGTCCCTGGATCCAAATGAGAATGCTGTCATTTTAAAACCCAAAATAGTTGCCACTTGTAAAGATTCAAAGTGGCTGCGCCCTCGGTTACTTTAAATATCCAAAATGGCTGCCACATGTAAACAATCAAAATGGCTGCACCCTCAGAACAGCAGAAAGTCAACAGCTCAGGTTTTCTCTCTCATTGCTGTTTCCCTTCTTAGTCCTAGGCCACCAGTGTAATCATCCCTGCAGCCCTTGGGGACCAGGGCTGATCTTTAGGTCAAGTCTCAGGTCCCAACACTGCTTGGAAATATTCAGGCTGTTGGTCCCATCAAAGTAGCTGACAGCCCGCAGCTCCAACCGTCTCTGTACTCACTGTTTTCGTTCAGGTTTTTCCACTAGTTGGTGCCTAACCCACTTCTGTATAGTTCCTTTCAAAGCTCAGGGCTCCAGGGTTATCTTCTGTATCTCTGTCAGTTGGTTTTTCTTTTCTTTGTTGAAGAGGGTCTGTGTCGCTTATCTGCCTCCTCCTCCATCTCACCAGAAGTCCTCCCCTACCTTGTGCATTCTTATGGTTCCAAGATGTTGGTGTCATCTGTATTATTCAGAGAAAAATATTTATGTTCAGTCTTTTTGACATCTTTTCATTTATTTATGAAGCTGGCCCATTATATGCTCAAAAGTGCAATTATGATTTTCAGTTGTACAATCTGCAAAGGCTCATATTACAGATTTTCAATTAACAGCATTAAATAACAGTTGTACTGTTGTTAAGTAAAAGATGTATACAATTTTATAATTATACTCCAATTAAGTTCTATAACATAAAATTAAGATGTCCAATTCAGTTAATTTTTGAAGAAAAGGCCAAATCCTAATTGTCAATTTTTTCTGTCATAACAGCAGTTTGGTACAGCACAGAGTCCCAGTTGTCAAGCTTTGGAACCTTATAAAGTGACATATAAACCCTTTCAGTCTTCTGCCCAGAATAATGGATCACCAGTGCAGGAAATAGCACAAAGGGACTCATTTGAAGGACTACAGCAACAGTTTTTAGGAGCTAATGAAAGTATGTATCAAGTTTATATTCATTAAAAATGTAATTGGGAAATGCTGAACACTGAATAGATATTTGAGCATATTCAAGAAGTATTGTTTTTTAGGTATAATGCTATTATTGTGGTTGGTGTCTTTAAGAGCCCTTATTTGTAGAGATACTAAATAAATAAATAAGCTGATGTGAAGTCTGTGGTTTCCTTTAAACGAATATGTTGTTGTGGGGAATATTGGGTAGGGTATAGATGAACCACGACTGGCCATGAGTCCATGATTATCAAAGCTGGGTGATGGTTTCATGAAGGTTCACTGTAGTATTTCTCTTCTTTCATATGTTTAAAATTTTCTATAATAAAAAGTTAAAAAAAATTTTCTCAACTATGTTTCAGTTCTAGTTTATGAAGACTTTTCGTTAGCCTTGTGTTTTTCTTACTGAAGCCTACTTTGGAAAATGAAATATAATTTCTTCAATCTCACATTTTTTATTATATACCAATATAGTTTAGTAAATCAGCCATTAACATCTTAATTATTTTTGGAGATTTAATGTAATAATTAGGTAACTCTGAGTTTATATTCAGGATGTAAACTAGGGTTAGATCTCCAGTTTAGTTGTGTGGCACTTACCAAAATTATTTTTTTTACTATATGTATAAATGTGAGAATAAAAAAAGGCTTATAACTGACTAATGAGCTCTAGTGGTACAGTGGTTAAAATATTTGGCTGCTAACTAAAGTGTTGGCAGTTTGAACCCTCTTGATGGCAGTGGGTTTCTTTTTATAGCTGACTACAGGATCTGAAGGCGATGATGTGCTTTTGTTAAAAAGAAAATAAAAAACCCAAATTTGTATTGCAACTAACCTGAATTGGAGATTTCTTATGTCTGACTTTTGCTGTTATACTTTCTGGCATATTAAATAACTTCTATTTATTGTGCATGTTGAAAAGCCAGTTTGATTCTAGGGTATGATAGATAGCAAGATTCCCTCCCCTCCTTCTCCCACTTTAGAAGGAACAAGTCGTTATCTGGGCTAGGCCCAAGAGAAAACTTGACTGCCATGCTATAACTTCATAATTCTGCTTCCATCATGTGCCACAACCATGGAATAGTTACAGGGGGAGGCCTATAACTCACTTTCCCCTGAAGGAATCAGTAGCAAAAATGGAGAGGCCCTCTCTCTGTTCATAAGGAGCTCTCATGGCATAGTGGGTAAGACATTTGGCTGCTAACAAGAATGTTGGCAATTCAAATGCACCAGCTGCTCCACAGGAGGAAGATGAGGCAATCTGCTTCCATAAAGATTTACAGACTTGGAAACCCAGTGGGGGTCGCTATGAGTTGGAATTGACTCAGTGGCATTGGATTTGGTTTTCGGTTTTCTCTTTGTTCATAAGTTTTACGGAATGAGGAAATGAAGTGGACAGTGTGTCTGGCATAACTGGCTTTGGGTTGAATAAGTAAGTATAACAACAGTGTCTGATAGCTTCTTCTGGGTGTTTACTCTTTTAGTTACCCTGAACTCAGTCTCATTCACACCTCCCAGTTTTTCTGCATATATAACCTTCTATTACTTTTTTTTTAGCAGTCTTCATTTTATCGGTTTTTTTGTTTAAGTTGGTTAAACATTTGCCTTAATTTGATATTTGTAAATTAGTTAAATAGCAGTGTCAAATTTAATGATTACAGCTTCTTAGCAACAGTAGTTAAAAGAAATGGGTCTGAAGAGAGGTAGAACTTACATTCTGTGTTCATTCCCAGACCAGGGCTGTGTGTTATAAGGTCTGCAAACTTTATAAGACTTTTGTTATTTTAAACAATTTTTCAATCATCATTTTTTTTTTCTTTAAAATTTTACCCCATCTCCTTTTAAAAAAGAGGATGAGGTTATTATATTAGCAAGTAGTTAAAACTTAGTTAATGCATTTAGTATTGATTGTAAGCTTAGAATGGAAAATGAGTATTTCTCATTTTGTAGTTGAAGTGTTGTTCTTCTCTACCATTTTTTCGTTTCCCCCACAAATTGTTATAAAGTAGTCCCTAAAATGACTTTAATCACTTCTGAAAGAAGACTTTAGAATTATTTATTAATTATTATTATTTATGAATTCAGCAGTTATGGATGAGCATAAATATGAATACACATATTGTGAGAAGGATGTATAGAAATGTTCTTTAAAAATGGTTTCTTGAAGTGATACACTTAAAAAAAAAAAAAAAATGAGAACATATTACTTTATTCCATTGCTATTGGTATATACTTACTGTGAATTGGCCAAAAGGTAATGATTCAGGATTATGCCCTAAAGCAGTGACTTCCAAACTTGTGGCAGTGGCCCACAGTAAGAAGTACATTTTTACATTGAGATATAGTGCACAGGATATATCTATCTACATAAGTATACATAGCTACTTATTCTTACTATATGATGTACTCTGAGCTATTCTAATCTTGGTTTTTTAAAGAAATGCTGGTCATAATTCACTAAATTGTTTCATAATACTCTAATATTAGAGTTGTAGTCACAGTTTGCAAACCACTGCCTTAAATGACCACAAGCTTATATTTGGTATGTTTTTAATATAAACTGTCTTTCATTCCAAAGCAGATTCTGCAGACAATATGCAGATTATTCAACTTCAGGTTCTTAACAAAGCCAAAGAAAGACAACTAGACAATTTAGTTGAAAAATTAAATGAAAGTGAACGTCAAATTAGATATTTGAATCATCAACTTCTGATAATTAGAGGTAAGTTAAAAGTGCTGGGTGCTGTCCATTTTGAGGTACTCTAGAGATAGATACCTTGTCCAACAGCCTCATTTTAAGTCTGAAGCATAGAGAGCCAAAGCACTTGGTCAGAGGATCATAGTTAGTCAGATAGAGTGAAACAGAAGTCCTGGGCTTCTGTCTCCTTGCCTTGGGTTACTTCTCTCTAGAACATACTGTTTTGAGGTTCTCATTGTCTTCCAATTTTTTTCCTTTCCCTCTTTTATTATCCCTCTTTTTCTGAGACCGTTAGAATCAATGAACTTTAGTTAAATTTGCCGATGGCATTTTGTTCTAGAAAGTTGTTGATTCCTTTTATCCAGGGTGGTTTACCTTGAATAACATTCCAGTTCCTATAGAGACTTTTGTTTAGTTTGTAGTGCAACAGCTTTTTGAGCCAAGTAAGACCAAGTGACCCTGAACTTCTTCCTTTTGGTGTGCCAAAGAGAAAATTGCACCACATCTGGGAGAAGTACATAGAGTAAATAGAGATTCAAATTATAATTGCTTACTCTTCATGTTTTTGTAGTTTTGATCAATGTTGAACTTTCATTTGTAAAATAGTTTTGTCACTGAACTCCAGCTTATTTCAAACTTAATCGATGGTGAAAAGGTCTGTTTCTGTAATACTCATAAATTTATTTTGAGAGAAGAACTTGTAAATTGTTACAACAAAGTATGTAGGAAAATTTAAGATTAGGTAAATTTAAGTGGAGTTCATTGCAAACATCTATGATGTTGTCTTGTGCCCCGGAGCTGATATGCAAATATGTATGAGTCAACTGGTGGCATAGTTGTTAAAACACTGGGCTGCCAACCAAAAGGTCAGTGACTCAAACCCACTAGCCGCACAGGAGAAAGATGAGGCATTCTGCTTCATCTTTACAGCCTTAGAAAACCGATTTATAGCCTTGGAAACACTGGGGCAGTTCTACTCTGCCCTATAGGGTTACTGTGGGTTGGAAATGACTCAATGGCAGTGGGTTTTTGTTTTTTTAATTCTCAAATACTTCTTTGATGATTAGTAAGGGCTTGTCACATCTATGTAATTTCTCAATTAAATAAATGCTGAGTTTTTTATTAGGAAGTCTTTTGTTCCTAAAAAATGGTATAAGATTTTTAAAGGACATAGTTCTGTCTGATACTCTAAAGTTTTTTGGTGTCACTGTTTTGAATTTCTTTATCTAGCTTTTTCTAAGTCATCTAAAGTTCATCTGTCCAAATTGCATTTAATTCAACAACATTTATGTACACTATGGATACAATATCTGATAGGGACTGTGACAGTTTGGGCCTTTCTGTAGTCATATATTATTTATAAACATTTTTAATGCCCTAGATGAAAAGGATGGTTTGACTGTCAGTCTTCAAGAATCACAGAAACTTTTTCAGAATGGAAAAGAGAGAGAGATACAACTTGAAGCACAAATAAAAGCACTGGAAACCCAAATACAGGCGTTTAAAGTCAATGAAGAGCAGGTAAATATTTTGTCTTGATTATTTATGATAAAAATTATTTATTATGGTATAAAATTTAGTTATTTAACAAAACTGTTAGCATGGTAGAACTAAATTCAGGAGAACTTAGAAGTTTGTATCTGCTTTGACTTTCCTTACATTGGAGGAGTGGTGCTACCAGCTCCCTAATGATGTACACCAGCAGTTTAGAAGAGACTTCCATTCCTCTCTCCCCCTCCTTCATCCCATTAGCCATTAAGTCCTGTTGAATCTCCTCATTTCTGCCCCATACCCTGAGTTGAAGCTTTTACCATCTGTTGCAAAATCTTATAACTAGTTTTTATTCTTTTATCCCTTCTACAAATTTTATCTGAGTAATTGTTTTAAAATATAGTCCTGATAATGTCACTCCTTTGCCTAAAGTCTTTAAATGACCTTGCTTCTCCTGTAGGGGAGGAGCTCTGATAGTGTAGTGCTTAAGGCATTTCACTGCGAACCAGAAGGCTGGCAGTTCAAACCCACTAGCCACTCCTCCGAAGGACGTCGGGCAATCTGCTTCGTAGTGATACTGCCTCAGAAACCCAAGGAGGGGTCGCTATGAGTCCGATCCAACTCAACGGTAATGAGTTTGGTTTGTGGGGTTTTTTTTTTTTTTACCTGTAGACCAGAGTATAGCATCAAGATGACCATCTGATTCTTGTCTGTCCCCTGTGGTTGTGGTGGTGGTTGTTGTTATGTGCCTTCAAGTCGGACGTGACTCTTAGCGACCCCCTCTTGGGTTTCCAAGGCAGTATCACTACGGAAGTAGATTGCCTAACCTTTCTTCTGAGGGGTGGCTGGTGGATTGTTAGGTACTGTCAAATCATTTCTAACTCCAGTGACCTTATGTACAACAGAACAAAACACTGCCTGGTTCTGTGCCAGCCTCACATTCCTCAAATGTAGCAGTCTATTTTATTGTGTTTATGTACTTGTATATCCTGACTCTTCTCTAAATGCCCTTTCATTATCACCCTGCTATTTGGTTAATAAGCTCCTGCCTACAAGTTTTCTTTTCACAAGTTTTCCTGCTTTCTTCTCCAATCCAGATGGAGAACACCTTGAGGACAGGATTGGGCTGCCCTCACCTTGCTGCCCCACTACCTAGACATAGCACCAAGCATGTAGTTGTTGTTGTTGTTGTTGTTATGTGCCGTCGAGTCGGCCCCGACTCATAGCGACCCCTCCTTGGGTTTCTGAGGCAGTATCACTACGGAAGTAGGATTGCCCAACCTTCCTTCCGAGGAGTGGCATGTAGTAGGTGGTCAATAAATGTTGAGTGTATATTGCTCAAAATTGACCTGGCCTATATGCTTTTATCTTATGTATTTATTTACTCCTACTCTGATACTCTACCACTCATCTGTCAGTTTGTCATACTGTGGTGGCTTACATGTTGTTCTGAGCCTAGGGGTGATGCCACTGATATTTCAGATACCAGTAGGGTCACCCATGGTGTATAGGTTTTAGCAGAGCTTCCAGACTGAGACTAACTGAAAATATTGGTCACTGAAAACTTTATGAATAGCAGTGAAACACTGTCTGATATATTACTGGAAAACTTTATAAGTAGCCCTGAAACATTATCTGATATAGTAATGGAAGATGAGCCTTTCAGATGGAAGAGCTGCCTCCTCAAAGCAGAGTCGACCATAATGAGGTAGATAGGCTAAAGTTTTCAGGACCTTTATTTGCTGATGGGGCATGACTCAAGATGGGAAGAAATGGCTGCAAACATTCATTAATAATTGGAACATGGAATGTATGAAGTATGAATCTAGGAAAATTGGAAGTTGTTACAAATGAAATGGAACACATAAAGATCAATATCCTAGGCATCAGTGAGATGAAGTGGACTGGTGTTGGCCATTTTGAATCAGACAATCCTGGTCTACTACTCCTGGAATGACAAACTGAAAAGAAACAGTACTGCATTCATCATCAAAAAGAACGTTTCACGATCTATAGTGAAGTACAATACTGTCAGTGAAAGAACAATATCCATACGGCTACAATAAGAACAATTAATACTACTATTCTTCAAATTTACCACCAAGCACTAAAGCAAAAGATGAAGAAATAAAGTTTTTACCAACTTCTGAAGTCTGAAATTGACCAAACATACCATCAAGATGTATTGATTGTTACTTGTGATGGAATGTGAAAGTTGGACACAAAGAAGAATCATGGGTAGTTAGAAAATATAGTCTTAGTGATAGAAATGACACTAGAGATTGCATGACAGTGACTTACTCATTGCAAATACTTTTTTCCAATAACAAAAGTGACAGCTATACACATAAATCTCAGCAGATGAAATATACAAAATTCAGATAGACTACATCTATGGAAAGAGGTGATAGAGAAGCTTGGTATCTTCAGCCAAAACAAGGCTAGGAGCTGACTATGGAATAGACCATCAGTTCCTCATATGCAACTTCAAGTTGAAGCTGAACAAAATTAAAACATGTCCAGGAGAACCAAAATACAACCTTGATTACATCCCACCTGAATTTAGAGACCATCTGAATAATAAATTTGATGCATTGAACACAAGTGATTGAAGACCAGATGAGTTGTGGGATGACATCAAGAACATCGTCCATCATATCCAAAGTAAAATGAGCTTACAAGATTGTAAACAGGGAACCAGAGATAGCAATTGGCAAGTGAAGACAACTACAAACAAAAAGAGGGAAAA